TGGAGCTGCCTCAGCTCTGTCCTCAGAGGTCCTCTTGCTCAGCTGCCGGCAGAAAGGAAAGGTCACGTGACGCTGTCCATGTGCAGACACCATGGACAGCGCAGCTCTCCGTTCTTTCTCCTGCTGGCCTTTCACCACCCACCTTCCCACACACACGCCTGTGTCTGTCCTCAGCCTCCTCCCTGGGGGTCTGCTCCTGTTGTCCCCCCCCTCCTCACCCCTCCTCCCTTCCTCAGCTCAGCGTCTTCTCCTAGCCCCACGCTCCTCTGCCTAAAGGCCTCTCCACTCCCACGCTGTGTCCTCCGTGTCAACTCGAGTCTCTCTTTTGCTCCTCTTGCTCCACATCTCAGTCTAAACTAGCACTGCCTCCTTAGGAAACACTCCTCCAGCTGTTGGACTGGCCACCTCTCCTCACTATACATGCTCATGGCTGACAATATTTGCAGCATTTAGCACCGTTGTCATTTTCCATGAATTTTTGTGGCTATTTAACAGAAACCTCTCTTGCTATCTGCACTTTCAACCTCATCATTGTAAAGACTGTGGAAGTTTTCGTTCCCCCTTTTACGGCCAGTACTGACAGCAGCTCCAGGTACTAGTGACTCATCTTTAAAGACCAAAGAGTGAATAACGAAAGACTCTCTAGGTTTCCACTTGGGTCATTCCAGAAGTCTGGGCGCATTAAATGGGAACTTCCATCCCTTTGTCTCCTGGAATTGGATGAGTCCTGGAAAATGAGGAGCAATCCCTATCATGGAAGAGCCACTGGATCCTAAGGCTTTCTGCAGGACTGACATTCCTGTCTGCCCACCGCCTTCCTGGGCTTATGTCCTCCTTTTGTCTCCTTCCGTTGTAGGTCCCCTGAATTTTAGAGTTTTGACTGACACATTTTCTATCTCTTTCTCTTCCCCCTCCCCGTCCACCCCAGAGGTTAGTTTTCCACTCTCTTAATTTCCCTGTTTGGAAAAATGTTTGCTTCATGCCTCCCTCACTACCGTATGCAGAAGTTGAGTTTGAGGCATGTAAACTTCCAATCAGCAAGAGCCGTGCTGTGTCTTGGCAGATCCTGATGCCCAACTGAGGAAGGGCCCAGCCTCCTTGGACAGTGTCAACAGAGCTGCATCCTCTTGACTACACAGCTAGCCACTTGAGGGCACTGTGGGTCCACTGAGCGGGCCACTGATGACGCTGCCTGGAAGAGGGAGGGTTAAGGGAGACGGTCTTGGCTTGGTCCCTGTGTCAGGGATATCACTTGAGGAAGCAGAGGTAGTGCTGGCACAGGAGGGGCTAATCATAGTCTTCTCACATCAACTGATGGGCACGTGTGTTTCTCAGGGCAGAGAGTCAGGAACTGCAGCCTTCCATGGGTAGAGGGCTCTCTAGGAGGCTAGATGTATTTGATGGGGAGTATGAGATTTCAGTGGGGCAGCCTGGGTAACCCAAGCCACGTGCAGACAAAGGAGCACCTGCCTCAGAGGACAGTTGGAAAAGCCGTGGGGATGGCCATCTGCCCCAAACCCTGCCCTGCTCGCTCAGCACAAATGGCTCCCCCTGCCCTGAAGGAGGCTGGGCAGAATGGGGGAAGGCCTGTGTCAGAATGGGGGAAGGCCCTGGCCAGTCCAGGGGGAAGGGTGCCTACAGGATGGTGACGTCAGAATAGTGACATCACAGGCAACCCTCCAAATAGAGAAAAGGGAGGAGCAAGGCTCCTGCTTTCTCACCCAAGGAGACCAGTGCCCTCAGTAGGGAGATGCCTGACTCTGCCTGGGGCACCAGACTCCTCTGCTGTGTGACCCTTTGTCTCCTGGGGGCAGGTGAGTCCTGAGCACAGGTGGGACATCCCCTGAATTCACAGTTCTTGATTGTTGCTGGAGTATCAGACACTTCCCTGTGCTAGGTGTTCAGCTTTAGTCTCCTTCCTCCGCAGGTCCAGGGGACGCTGGAGTCATCCAGTCCCCAAGACACCTGATCAAAGGAAAGCAAGAAACAGCCATTCTGAAATGCTACCCACTCTCTGGACATGACACTGTGTACTGGTACCAGCAGGCTCCGGGTCAGGGACTCCAGTTCCTCATTTCATATTATGAAAAAGAGGAGAGCCAGAAAGGAAACATCCCTCCACGATTCTTAGGCCAGCAGTTTGCTGACTACCATTCTGAGCTGAACTTGAGCTCCCTGGAGCTGGGGGACTCAGCTCTGTATCTCTGTGCCAGCAGTTTGGCACAGCCCTTCAGAGTCACTGGCTTTCTGTACCCAAACCTTCCTGTCCCAGCTGAGAATGCACTAGGGAGAGAGGGTGGAGACTGTCACACAGCTTTGACCAAGCCCCAGGGAGGAGATGCTTCCAGTTCTTTTCTAACATTCTCTCTTCAGAGCTCAGCCAGATCCCTCCTGAACATGCGAGCCCCAGGCCCACGGGATGTCCTCTCATCTCTGCCAGGACCTTCCAGTTCCAACAAATAGCAGGAGCTCCCACTCTGGGCTAGAGTGTGGGCATTTGTCTTAGTCCACTTTCTGTTGCTAGTACTGAATGCATGAAACTGAATAATTTATAAAGGAAAGAAATTTACATCTTACAGTTTTGGAGGCTGGAAAGTCCAAGGTCTAATGGCCGCATCTGGCGAGGGCTTCTTGCTGAGTCCCCAAGCAGTGCAGGGCATCACATGGGGGGTGGGGGGCTCATGAGGGATGGCCAACTGGCTTTTATAACAGCCCCACTCTCATAACTGACCCACTACCTCTAACCCACTAATCCATGAATAGATTAATCTACTTATGAGAGTACAGTCCTCACGGCCCAATCACCTCCCAAGGGTCAGCCTGTCAACATGCTGCTCTGGGGACCAAGTTTCCAGCACATAAAATTTGGAATGATGCAGTCAAACCATAGCAGTATATGTGTTTTAATGTAAGGATGGACATTAGTATTAATATATCTACTTTACATATGCAGAAGATCTCAATGTGCCATTTTATAGATAGGAAACTGTAACTCATGGACTCCCCCAATCTTTCATATTTACAAGTGTCAGAGCCAGGATCCAAACCTCCAAACCCCCCAAATCAAGCTTCGCCCACAATTCCACACTGTTCCCTAGGCCTTAGTCAACAAGACGTAGCAGAGTCCTCACTGCGTCTTCCATCTCAAGGCCAGCTGGGTGGCAGGGAGAGGTCGCACAGTATGGGGTGCAGTTACTCTGGCTTATTGCCTGTCAACTTCCAGGACATAGAACTTCAAGCCACAAGATGTTTGTCCTGTCTTGGCTCCATATAGAATCGGGCCATGATATCTCCTAGTACAAGGGCAAATTGACAAAGGGCATTTCCAGTACATCAGAGGACAAAACCGTTAGAACATATACAGAAAGAGACACATGAGAGAGAATCTATTAGGGCAACTGCTCACGTGGTTGTGGAGGCTGAGAAGTCCCACAGTAGTCGGCTGTCTGTGAGCAGGAGACCCCGAGATGCAGGCAGTGTGGCCCAGTCCAAGCCCAAGGGCCTGGGAACCAGAGAAGCCGATGGTGTAACTCTCAGTCCGAGGCCAAAAGCCTGACAACCTGGGGTGCTGCTGGTGCAAGTGCCAGAATCCAAAGGTAGGAGAACCTGGAGTTCTGATGACCCAGGGCAAGAGAAGAAGGGTGTCTCAGCTCCGGGAGATAGAGTGAAAATTCACCCTGCTGTTGCCCTTTTGTTGTATCCAGGCCCCCAGCCGACTGAATGGTGCCAGCCACGTGGAGGGTGGATCATTCCCGTGCAGTTCACCAACTCACACCCATCTCCCCCAGAAACACCCTCACAGACACACCACAAAACACTGCCTTACCGGCTGTCTAGGTTCTCTTAAAACAGTCAAGTTGATACCTGAAATTAACCATCATGATGCCCATGAGAACATGCAGAGCACCTGACACGAGGCTCCTATCAGGTGAGTTCATGACACAGCATAAAACAGTATTTCAAATCATATTGACCCTGACCTGGAGACTTAAAAACCTTTGTGGGCATAATGGGGCTCTTTGAACAGAGGGTGTGTATGTAGGCTGACCTACAGTTCTCCAAAGTTTAAGCAAAAAGAAAAACTAGCAAAAGGCACTTGAAGGTGAATTTTGAGCAGAGAAGTCATAAAAGGCAATGGACTGCCTTGAGGATGTACCTCACACATGTGGTCCCCAATCCCCATGCCACGGACCAATAGCGGTTCCTGGCCTGTTAGGAGCCCGGCTGCAGAGCTCTGCCACGCGCCCCCCTTCCCAGGGAAAAATTGTCTTCCATGTAAGTTAGTAAATGGGAGTGTGTAGGCAGGGGTCCTCAAACTGCAGCCCGCCGAGGACATTTATCCCGCCCGCTGGGTGTTTTTGCCACCGCTGCCTGTCCTGCTTAGCAGCCGACTCGTCCGGGGCCCACAGTGCGCATGTGTGGAATGTGCACCACACTCTCCAACGGCCCTCCAACGGTCTAAGGGACAGTGAACTGGCCCCCTGTTTAAAAAGTTTGAGGACCCCTGGCATAGAGGGTCCTGCAAAGCAGGGGTGAGCAGCAGGCAGGAGAGCACAGCTTCATCTGTATTTACAGCCACTCCCCATCACACAGCCTGAGCTCTGCTTCCTGCCACTTTACCGTGGGAAAACTGTGTTCCATGACAAAAGTCCCTGGTGCCAAAAAGGTTAGGGACCACAGCATTAGACCACAGAAATATTAGAAAAACTTAAAACAGTGTACCAATAAGAGATTGTATCCTAATGGGAATAAGACATGTAGAGAGGAATACATTTCCTTACTAAAATCAAGCAACGATCTTATGTACTTTTAAGATTTCTTTAAAAATAGTCTACAAATTCTTTCCATCCTTAGCTACTAAATTATGTATATATATTATAAAATGTTACTACATATACAACATAAAATCACATATATATCTTATATATAGCATATATGTAACATATATATAATGGACACATGTGTGTATGTGTGTGTATGTGTGTGTGTAGGTGTGTGTGTCTGTGTATTTTGATTGGTTCCTGTGGAGAAGAGAAGGGGTGTGGCAGGTCAGCTCTTCGCTTGAGCATTTGTCAGGGGCATCATTGAGTCACCAAGAGCCCAAGTTCTATTTTCCCCAAAGCTGGGCTGGGTGACTCGAGATTCTGTCCTGGACCTGAAATGGGCCCCCGGCTCTTCTTCTATGTGGCCCTTTGTCTCCTGGCAGCAGGTGAGGGCTGGTCACAGGAGGGCTTCCTTCCCTGTAATCCCCAAGAATTCAATACAAGCCTTTCTCTTGGAATGGCAGCATCAGCCTCTGTCACTCTCTATCACAGGACACACGGATGCGGGAATCACCCAAAACCCAAGACACAAGATCACAGAGATAGGAAAGCAGGTGACACTGAGTTGTCACCAGAATGACAACCACTTCTATATGTACTGGTATCGACAAGACCTGGGACATGGGCTGAGGCTGATCTATTACTCAGTTGATGCTCAAAGCACTGACAAAGAAGAAGTCGCCGAAGGCTACAAAGTCTCTAGATCAAACAAAGAGGATTTCCTCCTTTTTCTGGAGTCTGCTACCCGCTCCCAGACATCTGTGTACTTCTGTGCCAGCAGTGAATAATACACAGCGCTGCACAGCTGCCTCCTCTCGGCACAAAAAGAGCAGTCAGAAAGTCTTAGGTTGCCTGTGTCTGGCCCCACCCAGGGATGCCCTGGCACCATAGGAGTCCCAGAGCCTTTGCCAGGCTGGGGGCCTTAGGGAAGTGGTCAATATGACCCTCAGTGAGGTCCGTCCCTGAGCCAGTCTCAGCCTGACCGGAGCTCCCCCCACAGCTTGAGCTCGCTGGGTCTCTCTCCTGCTGCTCTCTCCTTCTGCTTGCAGAAAGAAAACTGCATCTTTGGTTGAGATTCGTGGTGATTCCCTTGATCATCTCAAAGCCACCACACTCTTCTCTTTCCCATGGCTTCAGTGACCTCCTCGCCTGCCCCTTCCCCTGCCCTCTACCCTTTTCCTCTGCCTCATAAGCCTTCACTCGTGGTCGCTGTTCCTGGCTGCCTTTCTTCTAAGAGGCACAGCCCCGCAGAGCCCGTAGCAGGAGCCCTGCACCCGCCTCTCCACCGCTGACCTGCACCGCGGTTCCCAGCTCTCCCTGTGTCAGGTTCTGAGTGTAGAATATACAGAAAAACAGAAAATTTTAGTAATTGTTACACAGATGTACATTTTAACATGATTTAGTATTCTTTCAACTTTTCCTTAGATGTCAGGGGGGTTTTTTTGTTTGTTTTAGATATCAGTTTTTGAAACAAAATGTGAAGAAAAAAAATCTTAAGATTCCAGAGTGTTGGCACTATTTCAGTCTAATGGTAGGTATTTTCATATTCATTTTCAAGACCTTTGAAATATTTTATAACTACCATAAAACACATGCACAACATAAGGTCTCTTCTAGCCCTGTACTGTCTCCTTTTTCCACAGGAGACAGGATATGATTGAAAAAAATTCAAAAAAGAATGTAAAAAATTTTATAGTTTGAGGATAAAACAGCTAAATATCTCTGACAGGAGCACAAAACGTAGCTAGCAGTGCCTGCCAAGAAGCCTTTCAGCAAATACGCAGGACTTTCACCTGGATCAAGAGATTCTGAGTTGTCTACAAGTTGATCAAAGACTCACAAGCTTTGGGAAATTGAATTTAAGCAGAGGAAGAATACGTGTGTCCCGAGTTGTGGCTGGACAGTATGTGTTTGCGTAACAGAGAGGGGCTCCAGCAGGGCAGAAGGGCCAGGCGGAGCTGGAAGGATTTCCCCCATTTTCTCACAAACGCTGTACGGTGTCAGCCCCGATTCTCTTGCAGGTAGAAGTCACTCCAGGCTTCCTGAGTCACAGACGGAGGGCCTGAGCCCAGCGACTCTGAACCATTGCCCCTGAGGAGGCTCTGGGTTTGATGGAATCATGTCTTTTGAAGGGGACTTAGCGCTGCCTGAAAAGTTGAGTATAAAGGAAAAGGGGCACTCCTTGCATCCAGGACCTGTCTGCAGATGTTGAGAGTGGACAGTAGAATGAGAAATATTGGCCGGGCGCGGTGGCTCACGCCTGTAATCCTAGCACTCTGGGAGTCCGAGGCAGGCGGATTGCTCGAGGTCAGGAGTTTGAAACCAGCCTGAGCAAGAGCGAGACCCCGTCTCTACTATAAATAGAAAGAAATTAATTGGCCAACTAAAAATATATAGAAAAAATTAGCCGGGCATGGTGGTACATGCCTGTAGTCCCAGCTACTCGGGAGGCTGAGGCAGAAGAATCGCTTGAGCCCAGGAGTTTGAGGTTGCTGTGAGCTAGGCTGACGCCACGGCACTCACTCTAGCCTGGGCAACAAAGCGAGACTCTGTCTCAAAAAAAAAAAAGAATGAGGAATATTAAGCAGAAACTCTTGTCCCCCAATTGATGAACGGAGGTCTGTTCAGCCGTGAAGTCTGAACTGCAGCAAATCACCCAGTGGAGTCTACATCAGGGAGAAGGACGAGAGCCAAGAGCCAGCCTGAGTGCTCCGAGACTCGCACGAGGGAGAGCCACTGCCTTGGGGAGCATCAGAGCGGTGTCAGGCATGCACCTGTGGCCCACACCTAAGCCACTCCAGCTGTGCCCTGGACGATTCGTGGGGTGGTGTAAGGACAACGTGGGAGAAGAAAGTAGGTAATCCCAGACCTCGCCAGAAAGGCTCTTCTCAATTTGCTGGCAGTAACATCATGAATATTCTTGCTGAGATTTTCCGTAAGTCTCGCCTTTCCTCCCCTGAGCAGCGAGATGACCCGTCTCTGCCCCGGAATGGGTTTCTCCAGTTTCTTCAGTTGTGCTGCCCAGGAAGCACGTGATACCTGGGAGCAGGTGGGACATTTCTTCCCTGGAGATGGCATGCCTCAATTTCAAATATTTCACATGCTGCCTGATAAATCCTGTCTCCAGCCTCCCAGCCTAAATACTGTTATCACCCAGAACCTTCACCCAGAACCTTCACCCCTGGTCACAAGTGATTGGAACAGGTAGGAGCCTCTGGATATGAAGAAAATTTCCATCATGTAATTATTGATTAGGGCCAACATGAGCTGGACTCAGACCAGCATCTTTTCCACTTCAGTGATAGAGAATTTGTAAGGAAAACAGATGGCTCTGGCAATTCTATACCTACAGGTCGTCACCTGTTAACTTTGACATGTGTCCGCTAGGTTTTGGGGAACTTGGCAGGATTTCTCTGAGCTCAGAGTTACACTCTTCCCACCTCTCTGAAAACACATGCCCTTGTTTTGTTCTCTCATACCAACTCTTGGGGCTTCTCCAATTCCCAAGCCTTCCCCTTCTCCCACTCTGACGACAAGAAGTGTGTTGCCACTGAAGTGTCTGGAGTTTTTTTTTTAAAAAATTGCTTGATACTATACTACAGTTCAATTATAAATTATGCTAGATATGTATGTTTTTAAGATTCTAGAAGGTCTGTTTAATTTTTCATTTGTTATTACAATACCAACACCAATATTTTTGAGGATAAGACAGTTCTCCATACATCTTAGGTAAGACATCAGAACTTACTTTCATTATATTGGTGGCCCAGAAATACCGGCAGCACCATGATGAAGGCATTGGTACAAAAATGCATCATGAAGGTTGATAACAGCAAATAAGAAACTGGTCATTGGACTTCAGACAAGATGAAACCTTCCCACTCTGTGCTCAGGGTGTTGTTTTTCCCCTTTAGCTTAGAGTGCGTCCGCCAGTTCAATGTGCTTCTGGGATAGAACTGTGCCAATCACCCCAGCTTCCACCTAGTCTAGCTCATATTACTGGCACAATGGAGAACCTGGTAAAAGAGAAATGCTTAAAGAGAAGGATAATTACACACAAGACAAACAGGTCAGTGACTGATATCTCTATTTCGATTTGCCATTGACACATCCATGTAGAAACAGCCAACAGAGAGTTAGAGGCTGAGCCTGGAGACAGAGTGGGAGATCCAATCACCCAAGCCCTAGAGACATGAGTGAGGATACATGGACGAACTTAGAGTCTAGGGATATGTTAAAACAACTTCTAGTTATCACTTAGTTTATAACAATTGGCTTCTAAGACTGTGGGCATCTACAGAGACAGTGACATCACTGTGGGAACTACCGTGTGGGGACAAGGACGTCCCTCCTCCTCTGCTCCTGCTCAGAGTGATCCTGAACTGTTGACCCTCCCATCCTTCCTGACCCCACCATGGGCACCAGGCTTCTCTACTGGGTGGCCCTCTGCCTCCTGGGGACAGGTGAGTCCTCAGAATACAGGGATCTCCACATTGGATCTCCCAGGGGTTATTCCAATCATTTCCTTTTTTTCTATTTTCAAATTCTGTCTTTTCCCCCACCAGATCTCACAGAAGAAGCTGGAGTCACTCAGTCCCCCAGACATAAGATTACAGAAAAAAGACAGTCTGTGGCCTTTTGGTGTGATCCTATTTCTGGGCACATTACCCTTTCCTGGTACCGGCAGACCCTGGGAAAGGGCCTGGAGTTTCTGATTCAGTATCAGAATGAGGCCGTAGCAGATGATTCAGGCTTGGCTAAGGATCGATTTTCTGCAGAGAGGCCCAAAGGAGCAAACTTCACTCTCAGGATCCAGCAGGCAGAGCTGGGGGATTCGGCCACGTATCTCTGTGCCAGCAGCCCAGCCACAGCGTTGCATAGACACTTCCCTCCTGTGCACAAAACCGCACTGTTCTCCTCTCTCTGCTCAGTGTGCATGAGCCCTAGACAGAGCCTTACCCTACCCAAGGGAAAGAAGTGGGTTTGCAGATATAAGCTATCATTTATATAACGGGCAGGCATGAAATCTTTCTTTCTTAAAACCTGAGGGCCACAAATGTTGTTTGAAAATAATTATGATTCAGGGATTTGAAGCACATTTCGGTGACAACTCAAGAAACCAAAACTGAAAGTGACTTATCATAGACTCAGTCCTCAGGGGTAGTGACAGTTAGATTCTTAGTCTGTGATTTGTTTGACATTTCACTTAAATGACATAGAGATATTATACGTAAAGTTTGATTTCAACCGAAGGAATTTTTAAAGACTTAAAGGAGATTTATAATCAAAATGGGGCATCTATTTGGTGTTTGCATTTTATTATTGGAGTATACTTACAGGGTTATTTTTTATTGCATAACCTCTACTGTTCCTTTGCTCCATGTGACAAGATGGGAAACAGAATGATTAAATTTGGTCAGCTAGTACAGAATGGGCTTGGAATGAATGCAATTGCTGCACTGTGATGACACATCTGTGCTGTGGTTGGTGTGTGTACCCAAGGAGCAGGGCTTGGAGTTGGAGGGGGTAATAGACTTGTGGCTGTCATCTTTCCCCCCTTTAAGCCTAATCTCCTGGGCAACACTTTGTTCAACATTCTCCATTTTGCAGTATTTCCTTAAGTAACACTCCTATTTTATTATCCCTATTCCCTGCCAAATCTTTTCTATGGAATGGGAAATATGTTATCTTATTTAGTTTCTGCATCTTAGTTTAGTCTCTCTTTATTGTCTCATTTTCCTCCTGGCTACCTAGAGAAAAAGGAGGATCCTTTGATGCTTTTCCAACATACACTAAGATCAGTAGAGAACTTTCTTTTTCACACAGGTTGGGCCTGAAGTTTGGATGAGAGAGGAAATGGGTTAAATTCTTATTTAGCACAGTGTTAGCCAGACCCTTTGGTTTCACACTGATACTTGTTGTTTAATCAATATTAAAACCAATATTATTATCTCCACCAGTTTGACTCCAATATCAACCTCTGCAGTGGTTCCATCTTAGGCCATAACAACATCAATATTGTTTGTTGACCTTATACACTAACAAATCATAATATCCTACATCTCTTAGACTCAGTGAAACAAAGCACAACTTCCCCTTCCTGGGAAGAGAGCACATTTGTGCTGTTTCTCCCCACTGCCCACTGGGAGGCACTGTGGCTTTGTTGTCATCCAGAGTCTCTGGGGAGAGGCTGAGATGGCTCCATGGAAGGGGATCATTGAGGGATACTCTGGGGTTGGAGCTAAGTTCAAGGAGTTGGCTTACAGATGTCTTGAATGGTGGCTGGGAATGAAGGAATTCTTGCTCTATTGTAGAGATGGGTTTTGCTCTCAATTGAGCTTTGCACTGAGCTCTGAATGGCAGGTGTGCTTGCAGTGGGTACACATTAGAGCTTGCTTAGGGTGTGGAGGCACAAGGAGCTGGGATGGTTGTCTTGCATGTTCTGGTTGGGGAAGCAGAGAAGCCGTTTGTGTGTCAGCGGAGCCTAAGAGAGCCTGACTTCGAACCAGCCCAGGCCAGCCCTGCCTGCTCTTTGAATGTAGAGGATAGAGCAGGGAGAAATGGAGGTGCTACCCTGGGCCGCATCAGAGAGACACTGGCCTTAGGGAGCTGACAGCCACAGTGACACCACTGCAAACACATCCAACAGGCAGAGACTGGACCGAACAACAGGATTTGCTCCCCCAAGAGAACTTTTGCTGTGAGCAGGTAGATGCCACAATCTAGTCCTAACTTTGCCACTCACTTGATATCTGTGTGCCCCCTGGAAGTGTGTGTGTTCTGGGCAGAGATAAGAAGCTTTTTTTTTGGGTCTGGGCTTCTCTTGGCCTGATTTCAAATGTTAGCATGCATCTGCCTGTATTTTGTACATAGCTTCCACCTCTTTCATGAATCCCATGGATACTATAATGTATTATATTTCTATTATTACTGTAACAAATTACTACTAACTTGGTGGCCTAACATTTATATCTTATGATTCTGAAGTTCAGAGTCCAAAATGGTTGTAACTGGGCTAAAATCAAGGTCTTGGCAGGGCTGCATTCCTTCAGGAGAATCTGACAAAGATGTGTTTTCTTGTCTTTTTCAGCTTCTAGAGGCCACCAGCATTCCTTGGCTCATGGCCCCTGCCCACCTTCATAGCTGACAGTGACCCATTGAGTCTTTTCTCACACTGCATCACTCTGACCCTTCTTCCTCCCTCTTCTACATTTTAGGACCCTTGTAATTACATTGGGCCCACTTGGAAAATTCAGGATACTGTCCTTATATTAAGGCCAGCTGATTAACAAGTGAACATTTGGAATATTAATTTCCCCCATGCCACACAATTTAATGCTTGCCCAGTTTCTGAGGAGTAGACATGGACATCTTTGGAAGGCCATCATTCTGCCTGCTGCCCTTGGTACCTTGCTCGGCGAGGAACAAGCAATACTCTTTTTGAAGGCAGAATGATGACCAGCCCTCTACGGTCTGGGTCCAGCAGACACTGCAAGATGGCAGAGCCACAAGGGAAACAGGCATGTCAGGTACTAGTGTACACGCTAGTGTACACGCTAGTGTACACGCATTTGCTCTATAAAACCAGCATGTGCTCTTGGGTTCAGGTTTCAGCAATATTCCTCTCCATTCTTCCTTATTAGCAAATAAATTAACCAACTCAAGAAATAAAGCCTTCTCTCATCTCTCCATACCTCCATAACCGCCACCCTGAGAAGAAGTGGGTTTGTGAAGAGGAGGGGTGGCTTTTCCAGGGAAAAGGCCAAGTGCTAATGATGAAAAAACATTGCGTCTTTTTCAGGGGTAAGAAGAAGATGTAATGCCAGCCCAGACCATTTTATCTGCACATTTTCAAGAATGAGGCAGTCCTCTTATCCTTCTCCTATCTCACTGTGGGGAGAAAGAATGTGAGAGATTCTGAGCCATGGGCTTTAGACACTCAATACGGTTCAAGGATAAACTAATCCAGAGACATTTTTCACTGCAAAGAAGAGCTTTTACAAAAACTCAGTTTTCAGGACAACCGTTCAGCCCCCGTATCCCTAACAATGCAGTTGGCATGCTCGTTCTTCCTGGGGAGCCCAGAGGCCAACTCCTAACTAACTGAAGGATCGTCTGAGTGTGTGTGACTAGGAGCATCCAGCCACTGGCAAAAGAGAGTTTAAAGATGAGCTGGTTTGCAGTAAGACAATGAGTTCATCTTTAAACACTGAGAATTTGAGGTGCAGATAGATATAGTTGGCAGGCTTTTAGGTAAGAGATACTCTGGAAAAGGCATCATGAATTGATATCAGACAAACCTGCAGGGAGCCTTGGCATGTGTACATCTGCATTTCAGATCGATTACAGTTGTGTTCAGTCTTGCCTGATTCATCTCCGGAGAAGCAGCCACTTTGAAAAGGACTTTCGAGTTGGGGGTGGTGGCTCATTTGGTGATGTCACTGACGGATGCATCTTGTGGAGATAAAATTTCCCAAGCTTCTCTTCTCCACTCTTGCTCACAGAGGTCCTGGTCTGGAATATTCCACATCTGCTCTCACTTTGCCATGGGCACTCGGACCCTCTGCTGTGTGGCCCTTTGTTTCCTGGTAGCCAGTGAGTCCTCAGAATATTTAGCATTGTCATGCTGGGCTTCTGTATTGATGACTCCTTGTATTTTCATTATTTTGTCCCCCCAATTCTGCCTTCTTTTACAGAGCACACAGATGCCGGGGTCATCCAGACACCCAGGCACGAGGTGACAGAGATGGGACAAGCAGTGACTCTGAAATGTGAGCCAATTTCAGGCCATGACACTCTTCTCTGGTACAAACAGACGTTGGTGCAGGGGCTGGAATTGCTGACTTACTTCCGCAGCCAATCGCAAATAGACGATGCAGGGATGCCCAAGGGCCGATTCTCCGCTGAGATGCCTAACGCGTCATTCTCCACTCTGAAGATCCAGCCCACAGAACTCAGGGACTCGGCCGTGTATCTCTGTGCCAGCAGCTCAGCCACAGCGCTGCAGAACCACCCCCTCCCTGCGCTGAAACCCCGTGCTTCCTGTCTCCCTCCAGCTGCCAGCTGTCCTGGGCGAAGTCCTTCCTGTTCCTCCCTCCCCAGGAGAATTAAGTGGTTTGGGGCATGACAAAGACAGAAAGCGATAAGATATCAACGTAGGAAATCTTGTGCAGGAAATGATGTGGGAAATGTGTTTCTCGCATCTCTCATCCATTATCTACGGGCTCAGAACTCACACGCATAAGATAAACCTGAATCGCCCGTCCACGCTGTAGATTTCCCCACAGTCCTGCACGTGCCATCCCTGCTGGGATGGTGGCAGCTCCTGAAGATGCCATGTCTTCTGGACCATTCTGTCTTCTCCTTTCCCTTCTCACTTTAAGCTGTGGACAGAATGTTTCCCCACAAGTTTTCTAGATTGGAAAACAAAGTTCTTTGCTATGAATGTGGGCATTCCTTTATAATGCTGATTTCAACTTAACATTTATGTAGGGACTTTTTCTTACACTCAAAGATCATCTCAAATATGGGTAAAGCAGGAAGTTTAGTACATTAGATGTAAACTGCCACTCCTGAAATCTAGGGATCCATGTGTCTCTGTCCAGCTAAGGAGAGCCTGATGTGAGCTGAAGACCTGCGTGTGCTCAGGATGGGGGTGCGGCCTCCAGACCTCCTCCCGAACAGTCAATACAGACCCACTGGAGCAACTAGAAGTGCACAGGCCTGGCCAGTCTTACTTGGCCCTCTTTTCTTTCTGACTGTATATCCTTAACACTCACATTTATATTTTTCTCTTTATTTGTACCAGAAATTTATATACAATACCTGCAATCCTGAATGGTTTTAATTCCTTTATTCTATAGTCCTATTTACATACTGATCACTTCTCATTCCCTCCCAGGGTATCATTGGCGACTGGTGCGAAAGTTGCCTGTACTTTAAGTGCCCAAGGCAGTTCAGGTTATTGGAGTTCTGCCTGTAGCCAAATTCCACTGGATGTTGTCCTATTTTTTGCCATAGTGGTCCTGAAACTTCAGTTAGAAATAGTGCAGAATGGAATTCAGTTTCTATTACCTGTGCAAGAGACATAATCTGCATCTCTGCAGACATGATTTTACTATGCTTCTCACGCTCCTGATTCCCCCCTACTGTTTCCAGATCATCTTCCTCCCTCCTTCTTTAAAGCCCAGCTCTTTTACAGAGATGACATGAGAATGTCTCCCTTCATCATCACACTTACTTCTGTAC